CCCCCACCCACCCCGTGAAGGGAAGCGGTTCTCGGAATCCAAATTTCCCTCCGCTAAACTTTTTCCCGCTGATAAGAAGTCAGGTACCTCGCCCAGCGAGGATGCAAAAACTTCAGCAGCGGTAAACAAAACAAAACCAAACCAAACCAAAAACGAGAAGGAGCGATTTGAGGATTTCCAGCAATTCCACGCGAATACGACTTTTAAAGCCGAAAAGCTGGAAACGTTCGCCCGGGCTCTCGGGATTTTGGGAATGCCTTTCTTAAGGGTTTTCTTTGTTAAAGATTAAGGACCGAGAGCTACTGCGGTTCCCAGGGAGCGGGGGAAACGGCCACTTTTCATCTATTAAAAGCGAAGGTGTGAATAAACACTTTTAAAGATCGCTGACACTTGCTTGGACAGAAAGAGTAAAAGGCAAGTTGTCAGCAGAGGAACTTTCTTTCCCAACCAGCTCTCGGACGGCGGCAGGCAAATTAGGCAAGAAAACGTCTTTCCAGGGCTTTTCTCCTTCCCCAAATCCCTGTTCACCCGACTACAGCTGATTTATTTTTTTCTCAAAACTCCAATTTAGGAGGTAGTTAGAAGAAAAGAAAAAAAAAAAAAGAAAAAATAAAGGGGGTAATCGCACCCAAAATAGAAACAACAATACACATGGCAGTGAATGCTTGTAACCTCCATTCAAATTAAAGTCACTTTCTTTCTAAAAGAATGGGGGGAGTTTGCCCACTGCACTGCATCTCTTGGGACAGAATATATTTAAAAAAAAAAAAGAAAGAAAGAAGGGTGAGTAAAAAAACAGGTAAAAGAAGAAAAAAAAAAAGTTGTGCTTACTCCCAGCCAGAACTTATCTTCTGAAAATGAAGCGGTATATCATCACTAGCAAAATGCTCAGAGACATGCACACATTCAAATATTTCAAGCACTGGTGATTTTAAAAAATACATTGGTAGGACTAGAGCTACAAAACCAACAAATAGAGAGGCTCGGACATATTCACTTACATGCCTGCATGTCATTAATGTATAGAAAGCTTGCCTCTTCCCTGAGAGCTCCGGGATGGGGAGTAAAAGAACCAAGAAAATAGCAATATACATAGGTTTTAAGCCTACAAGCACAACTGATAAATCCTACCACTGCAGGACACCGCTTTGTGCCCCTACTCCAAAAAGGAGGAAAAAAAAAAAAGAAAAAAGAAAAGAAACTTTTTTCGCAGCGTCTCTGTCAGCCACGTTTCAATATCATTTCACATTTGAAATCCATTTTTTTTAATCATACGTACCCTTTGCGCCATCGGCCTGCTTGCTCCCTTCCTACTTCAACTTCTAATATATCCTCTTTAAGGCCAGTGTGAAAAGAAAGAAACACGAAGTTCCCCCCCTCACCCCCAAAAAAAGGCAAAAATCCCTTAGCGTCTCCAGCAATGGAAGCAATCGAGTAAAATCTTCAGCTTGCTGGATCTCAGCGAAGCGATACGGTAACTCAGCATTAAAAAACGAGAAAAAAATTAGAAGAAAAAAAAAAACAACTCTCCCTCCTTCCTTCCTTCTTTTTTCTTTCTTTCTTCCCTCTCTCCCTGTGTCTCTCTCTTACTCTCCCCCTCTCGTTTCCAAGACAGCAGCGGGGCGAAAGCAAATATCCTTTCCCCAAATCAGTTTTTTTTTTTTTTTTTTTTAAAGTGCCCCTCAAACCCAACTACCAAGTCTCATGGCTTTTTGCCACTCCGGCTGTCAATCACAGGCGAGGTTGTCAAGGTGGTGAATGACTGATGATGATCCGCNACTGGCCGGAATTTTCGAGACTTCAACGGTGGCAGCAGTGCCGGCGGCGGGAGCGAAGGCACCCGCACACAAAAGGAGTCTTTCAGGGACAAAAGTTGCGAAGTTGCGACGGCTGCCAGGTTTTCCCCGCGATGGCACCTCGGGGTAGCCCGGGCAAAGCAGCGCAGAGCCGACCTGAGCCTTGTACTTCCTATTTCACATTACAAATAGAACATTTCAGCCTAAAATCCGTAGACTAACTCCTGAGCTGGTAACACCATCGTGTTGGGGTTGTCGAAGGGCTTTTTTCTTGCACGATTTGGGTTCTACAAGTTCATTTGTGTTAATTTGGAAACGCCGCTCCGCGCCGGGGTTCGCGACGATCCCTGCCTTTAGCCCATTCGCCCCTCGGCACTCCTGTACTCCTGCCTATGCCAAACCCTCTTTCTTTCCTGTCGGTATTCCTATATTTCTCGTTGAATTAAATAATAATAACAGTAAAAGAAATTGCTGGATAAAACTGTGGCTGCTTAATTAAAAAAAAAAAAAAAAAAAAAAAAGGAAAGAAAAGAAAAGCCGCTGGGCTGCTCTGCATCCCAAGGATTGAGCTGTTGTGCCGTCTACTGGGAGACGGGAAAACTACAGCCAGAAACGCTTCCAAATTTTCTGCGAGAGGAAAGTCCAGTTTTCGACAATTTGAAGGGGTCGGAGACGCCCAACTCCTCAGTAGAAGAATAGCGACCCAAGACAGAAAAGTCTTAGAGACACTTATTTTTTCCTTAGGCTACATCTGTATAATAGGCTACATCTGCATAAAAACTCCACTCTTAGGCGTATAGGATTTTACTGACTGCAGACCGTGGAGCAATGATATGGTGAAGATGGTTTGAGTTTACCCGCGAGACGCAGTTGGACATTAGCTAAATATGTAGAAAAGAAGAATTTTTTTTTTTTTTTTTTAAGAAGGGGAAAATATTTGCGAACGGTTTAAAAACTTCTCCCCCCGCGACCGGCCGGCTGTAGCCAGCGGGCAGAGGGAGATCCCAACTGGGGCAGCTCCCACCCCGATGATGCTCTCGGAGGGCAGCGGAGGCAATCGCTCTGATGCCAGCCCTTGGTGGAGCAGCAGGAGGGGAGTTTACCCCGGCCCAGCGTTAGTCTCGGTTTAGAGGAAGCCCAGACGTTGCTGTTCTAAGTTCCCGAAGCTTTGCCCGTGCCCGAGCCGCGGGTGCTCTCAGGCAGATGCAGCCTGGCTGGGTCATTTCCCTCTCCCCTCTCCCTGCCCACTTGCTTCTCCGCTCCCGTAGCGCCTGGAATGCTCTCCTCAAAAATACAAAGCGCAAGAAGAGATTTTAAAAAGACGGGGGGGAAAGCTTTTGGGTTTGGGTTTTTTTTTTTTTAAACCCCAAACCCCAAACTTCTAACATGAACCCTTGACTTTTATGAGGCGAGAGCCGCCGAAGGGCTGTGAAATGCAAAGTCTTTGTCGTATTTACAGGTAGTGTCAGCAGCCGACTGGACACGCAGATAAAAATCTAGCGGTCTGTGTGAACTCCAAGGAATGTTTTAAGGCGAGGATCTCTAAGCGCCTATTCTCAGTCCACACATATGCCCGCACGTAGCCTACAAAGACGGAGACACCCACGTAGCCGAACAATAGTGGGGAATTCTTTTAATAGGTTAAATGAAGGTACAGGGAAATCCTCTTCCCACTTGTGGCACACCAACTCCGACTGCTCTTTGCCTTCAGAGCCACTTGCTAGAGTTCAACAGAGGGTGACATTAGCCTAAAATATTCGATACTTTTTCTTTTCTCCTGAAGACTTTTCCCACTGCTTCTGGACTAAATTCAGCTCCCAGTTCATCTCTGCGGGTAAAATTGCTGTCTTTGAAAGAAACAAAAATCTGCCTGATCTCTTTAGTTTTATTTTATTTTATTTTAATCAAGAAGGTATTACACATACTTTCCTCAGTGTACATAAACCAGAAATTAAATGATTGTGTGTCCCTGGTGTAAGAAGCCGAAGGACACCTTCTAAAAAGTTGAACGAAGTATTTTACCCTTTTAAATGAGATCAAAAAAACTTGCAAGATTGTACAAGAAGCAAATTAGCAAGTAACAAAATAAAACCTCAATTTCAAGCCACATAGAATTGAATATTTGTGTCTGACAGTACCTCGGCTGAACTAGAGCAAAGCGGAGTTTTGTCAGAGCTTTTCGATTTGATGTTTCCCTCCAAACTAATTTTCACTATTACTCCATTCCTATTATCTAAGTCCATCTGCAGCTCGGCTAATGAGCCCATTTACTGCACGAGTTCGGCGTGCCTCTGATGCCGATCGCAGAGGATGGGCACTCCTCAGAGCGAGGATCCGGGGCTGTTCAGCCCGGTGGGATGGGATGGGATGGGATGGGATGGGATGGGATGGGATGGGATGGGATGGGATGGAACCCGGGGCTCTCTGCAGGATCGGAACTCTCGCAGGGGGCTTCCCGCAAACGGCACCATCTAGGAAAAATCGAACGCGAATTAATTACGCTTTATAAATCAGAAAAACAAAGGAAAACAAGAAGCGAAGCCCTGTGCCCGGAGCGCGGTGCGGGACGCTCCCGGATCCCCGGGCACCGAGCTGTGCGGGGCTGGGCGGGCAGGGAGCGCCTCAGGGTCCCTGCGACCCCATCCCGAGAGTGCCCGCGGTCCCCCAGGACAGCTCCGACCGTGCTATCTGCATCGGGGGCTGTATTATCACAGGCTTTTGCATAATTGCATATTGACTTTACTAAATGGATCTGCGGAGCTATTTAAACATCCCTCTCTTCCACCCCCAAACAATTCTCTCTGCAAGAAAGAAAAAAAATGCGGGAGTGGGGGGAGCTGCAAAAGAGCTTCCAGTTGCTCTTGCTCCTTCATTTTGTAGCGTTTCTTTGGGCACAAGTGGCTCAACTCTAAGTACTCTGGATCCAGTTTGGTGCACAAGAGTGCAGGGAAGCAGAGAGGATCTGCAGCAGCGTGGGTGACAGCAGAATGGGTAGCCGTCACTCACTTTGGGGTCTGAGAGGTGGGTGCATGGATATATGTGTCACTCTGAACTCCCGTGGACAATTTCTGGCCAGCTGTGATGGCTGTGAGAGAAGCCTCCATGGGTACATGCCCGTGCATGCACAACGAAGGACTGCTCTAAGGACAATTTAGGAAAAGCTCTCCTTGTTAAAAATCTCCTTTTTAAAACCTCCCTTAGGGCAGGGGAGCTCAGACGTGGCACTCCCCTTTCCCGACACCTCACAGCAGTGCCCCACAAGCCATATCAGCCCCAAAGCAGACAGCTGGACTTTGCCTCCCAGAATAGGTGTGCTCATCCCACTGTCACCCCTCTCCATCCTGCACAGGCAGCTGCCCTCACCCCTGAGCCTTGTAGGGGAAGGCAGCCTCCTCCCTCACCAAGGCTGGGTTCCCAAGGCAGCAGCTGTGAGAAGCAGGCAGGGAAGGGGGGAAAAAGCGAAGGACAGAAGGAGGGGAATCAGGGAGAGAGGCAGTGAAAGCTGCACTTTCCTCCAAGCAGAGCAATCATCCCCTCGGAGGGGCCCCAGAGCCAGGAGCTGCCTCCTGAGCCCTGGGCCTCCCACCAGGCAGCAGCAGCAGCATCTCCCCCTCCAGAGCCTTGCAGCCATGGAGACAGCAGCCTCCCATCCTGGCTTGGCCCCTGAATTCCCCATGCTGGCCTTGCAGGTCTGCAGTGAGGGGACAGGGATGCACAGGGACTGCGCCAGCCCCAGGCACTGGTTTGAAACGAGAAACTCCAAATATCTGGGGATTCTGAGCATCCTTCATGATGGTAAGAGTCACCTTCTGTGGCTTGGTTAAAGGGTTCATATGAAAGGTCTGCTGGGATCTGCAGCTCTCAAGAGGAAACTGCAGTCAGAATAATCCACCAAGATTTATTAAGAGAATATTTGCTTCCAGCTTACCACGCTAGGGCACTATTTTTACATTGAGGATGCTCGCTTTGCTTGAAAAGCTGCAATTACACTTTGAAAAAAGGCTTTCCTGCTCTTATCCTCAACTTAGTTGTGGAAAGAAGACATGAAATCAGGTAGACATCCAGACTTTGAAAAGTACTTTGAAAAGTACTTTGAAAAGTACTTTGAAAAGTACTTCTTTGGAACCAAAGAAACATCTCATAAAATCATCAACTCAGCTCTCCTGCAATGATATTTCCTTGCATTTATCAGAAATTTAGATCAATTGAGTACTCTCTCTATTAGCTAAGAGGGCTTTGAGGAGGACTATCACACATTCAACATTTAAGTTCAGATTTCTAAAGATATTTTCTCTCTTCTCTCAACATAACAGTGATCACAGTCCATTGCAAATTTGGCACCTAATTTCTGCAAGAGATATAGACCATCTTCAGTGAACTCAGGTCATTAAGTCCCATTTTAGGAGCTGCCTACCAGCCAACTCTTATTGCAAGTCACTGGGATTTAGTTCCTAAGTCACATTTTGAGAAGGGCTGTATCTGAGGGCAGATATGCATCCCAGTGCACATAGACATGACCAAAGTAGCTCTGAATCCCACTATGGTGGAGCTAATTAAAGCATGTCAGAAGGCTCTACCCACCAAAGCAGTTCCCCGGGGATTTGGGGGACACTGAATTCTTTGCCTCTCCCCATTCTTGCCTCAAAACACTACTTTTATGGCTGTGCAGATGCAAACATGATCAGAACAGAGTCAAGTTTATGAGGTACTATGCAGATGCACTAAACTGTTTATCACTTCAGTCCCCCTCTCCATTTCTAACATCCCTTTCAGTTTGATCTTCCTTAAGTGCATCCCCGGAAACAGGATCACTCACCCAAATAATATGTGACAGCTCGTGGTTTAGGGGGTGCCACTGGAGCAGCTGAACATCTTATGAGCATATGTGCTTGCCAGGAAATCCTCATTCCATGACAGAACACTTGAAATACAGAAAGTTTTCAAGGGCCTCAACCAAAAAAACATGATGGTGCAAGAAGCAAAGGCGAGATGCTTTGCGTCTTGGGCCTCTGCTGGAAGACAAGCTGTTCCCACCCCTCTCTTCATTAACTCATAAACTTTTTTAAACTCAGAAAGTTTGGACCTTACCCAGATCTCTCCCCCCCACAGAATATCTTGTTTTAAATTATTTTTCCAATATCATCCAAGATCATATTTTTCCTTTTATGTTTCCAAGTTGAAGTTTATTATAGTTGTCTACACTGCTGATCAGTTGCAACCCTTTCTATTATTTTCCTGTCCTGCCACTATTTGAAACACTTCTTACTTGGATCACCTTCAAATTCTATTACTGTACTGCTCACCTCAGTTTTGTACCAAGCCCATTCTGGCTAGCATTTATTGTCACCAAACTCGAGGACATAACTGATCCCTCTCCTCTGCTGCACAGCACCACCAGATCCACTTTTTATTCCATTCTTTTCCATACACAGTTTGCCTCTCTGCTGATGGAGAGACCCTTGCTGGGTTTAGCCAGTGCCAGCCACATTGTCCTTACCATTAGTGTTACATTTCTAGTTATTCTTGCTTCTTCCCAAAGCCTTTGAAGTCGTATAGAGACAATTTGATTCATTAGTACACTCAGCCTTGCAGTAACTCTAGCTCCTGCTTTAGTTTCTCTATTAGAAGCACATGTTGGGTCTGTAACTTGAGGGAAAGCTCCACCCTCTGACTTCCCCATACAGTTCAAATTCTGCTCTGCCTCACTGAATTCGAAGGACTGGTGGCTTTCTGCCTGGGGTTTCCATACCTGGGAACGCCACCTGCTCCTCTTCCTCCCTCCCTGCTGGTGTGACAACTTGTGAGCAATATGCTTTCTCTTTCTGAGTGTCTCCACGCTAGAGACTTTTGCAGCAGTTCCATGTATTTGCAGTTCTCTTCACATTTTTTCGGAAGAGCTGCAATTATCCCAAATATTTCTTTACTGGCATCATGTAGGCTGAGATCCATCAGCAGCACTTCACTAGACATCTGTATGTCACCTTCACTGTCCTTGTTGGGTAAGGAGATAGGTAAGCACCTCATTTCTTCTTCTGGCCTTTGGGATGCAGGGCCAGGCTCCTCCCTGAGGGATCACTTGAAAGAATCTCTTGCCTTCTTTGACTCAGGTGGCTCCTCCCAGAGCTATGTGCCACATAGTACTCTCCAAAAGTGGCAGTGTTGGCACGAAGAATATAAAGTGACACCTGCTTGGTCTACTGGTCTGCCCTGCTGCTGTGCTATGTCCCACAGAGGGTTTTCACCTCCACTGATTCCTTTTTCACCGCCCAATGGGTTTGTGAGTTCCTCCAAACACACACCAAGACCATCACAAACAACCACCAGCTCTCAGAGGAACTTTACCTCATAAATCTGTTAAAAACCCCCAGTGTTTCAAGTAAGAGACCTCCTAAGAAACTCCATCAAGGGACCACTTGCTGCTCTGAGCATGTAGTTTATTCCATTCCCTCTTTCCACTTTCCAATGCTTTTCATAAAGTTCTTCTTACCTGCCTGTCTCTTAATATAGATTTTGTTTAGGGTGCCAAGCCAGTCTGCCTCATGTTTTCCCTTGGATCTGTTCCCTGCTTCTTGCCAATATTGCCTGTGGATCCTGCTTTGAAGTTCTTCTGTGACACATTTTCTGCCACTGTTGACTCTTCCCTTGGCTGGCATCACCTAGGGGGTCCCTCTCCAGCAGGCTGAGAATCACACTGCTTCTTTGATCAAAATGAAATCCATTTACAAGCGCCCAATGAGCTGGCACAAACAGACCCACAGGTTTCCAGACAAAACTAGCTGACATGAAAATATGCCAGTTTTAACTTCAGCTGAATTCTTAACCTAGCTAAGGTGAACCCACAATTAAAAAAATAAATAAAGAAATAAATAAAAAATTCATTTTATGAGCACTTTCTGTTTGCTTAGCTCAAATTAATCCTTTTTCATCAAAACTGATGTTGAAATCAGATTAAATCAAAGTGTCCATACAGCAGTTTATCTCTGTATTTTGAGAAGGGAAGAAGAAGAGAATTTGAACCTAAAATTACACTTCAAATAATTTTTATGCTTGGAAAAGGCCTGTTTCTAGAGACCAGCTGGGCCCTGATTATGAATGGTGCTCAGTTCCAGCAGGTCTGGGTGAAGAGAGCAGAAGCAGATGGATCTCAGTGATGCTGGGAATCAGACTCAGTCTCAGCACCTACGGCAATTCAGCCTGCACATCCTCCAACCCCCAACAAAACCCAGCGCTCAATGGCTGCTCCAAGGAGCTGAAGTGGGCAGTCTTCATGTTAGAAAAGTTCATTTTCCTTTATGATTATATCTTGAGACTCTCTATGTGTTTGTGAAGTTATTTTCCTGAACTCAATAAGCACAGCAGTTGTCTAGCATAAAAATGAGGGGTTTCAGTCCAAAACGTTATCTCCACGTAACTTTTTCCCTTTCATGTACTTATAACTATTGATGGGTATGTCAAATCATCTTCAAAGGAA